GGCTCGCGGGTCGCCGGGGGTCGGGCGGGTCCCGTGTCCGGCATGGCCGTGGAAGGCCCGCCAGAGGCCAGAGAGGAGGAAAGCGTTTCCAAGTGAGGCCATCCCTTCCCCTATCGCTTCCCTCCCCTTCCATCCCGGCCTGGCTGCCCTGTCCTGCCCGGGATGCTCTCGGAGCCTGCTCGTATAAATGTCCCAGGCACATCGGCGGAAGGCATCAGTCCACCATGAGGATCTCTCTTCTCCTAGCGGTGCTCAGCATCTGGGGGGCAGGCCTGTGCCTGGCCAGGGCGCCGGCGGCGCCGGCGTCGCCGGCAGTGTCCCAGGAAAGCCTGCGAGTCGAGGTGCAAGACACCCTGCAGGGCCTGCTGCAGGAGACGCAGGACTCAATGGCCCGCCTGAGTGCCGACGACGGTGACCGCACTCGTAGGAGCGCCGGGATCGACGACTCGGAAGACATCATCATGGACGGCGAGGACGACGAGGCCGAAGACAGCCTCCACCGGTCTCGGAGGGACCTGTTCGGGCTTGACGACACGGAGGACATCGTGCTGGACCATGGCGATGACGACGACGCCGATGAGATTGTCCACCGCTCGCTCAGGAGCGTCGGACTCGATGACTCGGAGGACAGCGGATTCGACAGCGAGGACGACGAGGCCGGCGACGCTCTGGAGAGGTCGCGCAGGAGCATCAGTCTGACCCAGGACTACGACGACGAGGAGGACGACAGCCTGGTAGAGCGCGTGCGCAGGAGCATCGCCACGGAGGAATCACAGGACCTGCAGGCAGCGGCCAGCCACCACGAGAAGGGCGGCGGCAAGAAGTACAAGGAGTCACACTTCTCCAAGAAGGGCAAGAAGGGCGAAAAGGGCCATAAGGAGAAGAAGCACTGGGATGCCGCCGAGGCGGGCAAGCACGGCAAGAAGCACAAGGCGTCGCACTATGCCAAGAAGGGCGCTCACAAGAAGAAGTTCCACGACGCCGCCAAGAAGTACGGCAAGAAGCACGAGTCCGAGTCCGGACACAAGGGCGAGAAGTTCCACCACAAGAAGGGCCACAAGAAGGGGCACAAGGTCAAAGGTAAGTTGTCTGCACGCATTTGCCCCATTCAGTTGATCACTGCATTTCCTGAGGCGTTTGCTAACCTCTTCTTCTTTCCCCACAGGCTACCACAAGAAGCACCACAAGGACGACTTCCAGAAGAAGAAGAAGTTCTGGGACAAGGCGCACAAGACCGGCAAGCACAAGAAGTACGGCCAGGAGGACTCCCACCACGAGAGCAAGGAGGGTAAGCACAAGAAGGGCAAGCACCACCACTCGGGCTACAAGGAGGCGCACAAGGGCAAGAAGGGCCAGAGCAAGAAGGGCCACCACGACAAGGCGGACAAGAAGTGGAAGGGGAAGAAGGGGCACGACGCGCACCACGCGCACAAGGAGAGCTACGGCAAGAAGGGCGGCAAGAAGTCCGGTAAGAAATGGGGCTACAAGGAGAAGCACTGATGCTCTAAGAGAATCAGTACCCTTGCTTGTCAGTATCAATAAGTGTCAGTCTGGAAGGATCTCACCGTTGTTGTTTCTCTAGTCAAGTTGAGGAGGCATTACTGTGAGGGTTGTTGTTTTGTTGTCTGTTGCCATTATTTGTTTGGCTGTTGTTATTTATGTATCTAGTATTTCGCTTATTGTGTTCTATTTATTGACAAAAATAAACCCTGTGTTTAAACTTTTTGTACATGGTCGCAATCTTTAAATGTCCACCCTCCTGCGCACCTACTCAGAACTTCAGAGGCTAGAACAAGCTCCCACAACGCCTGGTGGGTAGGCAACATCTTGTCTGCAGTGCATGCGTGTACTGCGGGGTGGCCTACCCCGAGTTTCGCAGGCGCCGAACTCCCGTTGTTTGCCAAAGGGAGGCGTACTTTCTAAACGATCCCTTAGAGAGCTCGCTCCGTATTTGACGGTAGGGTGACTTAGCTTTCCTCATAAACGTGAGATTCAGGTTTTCATCATTACTCCACAATTCTATTCTTTTTCAACAAACACGAAGAATGTTAAGGGAATATGAATATGTGCGCTCAAGCGAGCGATCGAACTTACTCGAGCAAGTGGGCTCTCTAATCTTGCTGCTGGAATCCATCATCCATCTGACAAGAATATCAACACCCACGACATTTGGTACATTTCTTACTGAACCGCGCGATGCGACTCTGGGCTCGAGTGGGTAGGCAACCCACCCACACGCGCGTATGAGGCACAGTATGTACGGGCCTTTATTTGCGAGCCGAAGTATTTGGGGTCGCAGTAATGAGAGGGGCCTTGTAGCGATTGAGTGCGTTGATGGAGAGAATCAATTCGGATCGAAGAATTGTTGTTAGGTATGCCTAATTGGTCTTCAGCCCACGAGCACGTCTATACTCAACAATACTGGGCCTTCCCCCGCTCTGCTCTTTCCCCTCGCGTACTCGACGCTAGGTCACCGGATTGTAAGCCAAATATTTCTAAATATGAGAGGGAATTAGAACACAGCTCTAAGATCATCTGCTTTGAATAATCGATTCTTGAATAATTGAGATTATTTTTTTTACGTTTGCGTTTCTTTGGATTTTGTTTTTGATTGGCAGGTTTGTCTACTTCGGCATCAAAGGGAAATGACCATAAAATGTATTAGAAGAACAAAACAGGTTGACTAAATAGAATCTTTATTTTAATAGGGTTGACAAATATTTGTCGGCATTTGACTAGATTTAGCGGCGCAAATCTTGTTTGCACTGAGTGACCACATACTAGTGGCCCTTCTTCTTCTTGAAACCCCACTTCTTCTTCTTCTTCTTGCCAGCCTTCTTTGAGTAGCTTTTCTTCTTGGAGTGCTTCTTCTTCTTCCCCTTCTTTCCCTTCCACTTCTTGCTCTTCTTGTCGTGGTGGCCCTTCTTCTTCTTGCCCTTCTTGCTCTTCTTCTTCTTGTGGTACGCAGACTTGTGGTGTTTTCCCTTCTTGTGCTTTCCCTTCTTGGACATGTGGTGCTTGTGCTTCTTGCCGTACTTCTTGTGCTTGCCCTTCTTGTGCTTCTTGTCCCAGAACTTATGTTTCTTCTTATAGTTGTCCTTGTGTATCTTCTTGTGGTAACCTGTAACAGAAAAAGCAGGGTGTCCTTAGTCGCATGTCCTTGATGCTGGCCCCGTTGGCCTCTGGAGGTGAGCGTGTTGCCTGGCGGCCAGGCGTTTGTCTCTGCCGAGATGCATTGCGGCTAATTTACACGGTTTACGCTCGGAGCCTAAAGAGCCGATGGATATGAAGTATAGACAAACCCGCCCGGATACATGCGCAGTCGCTACACTGTTAATTGGGGCTGCCAGTCTAGCGGGTGTATCGGAGCGGTCGCCGCCAGGCGATGGCGCCTTCAAGGCGGAGGGAGTAGGTAGACCCGCAACACTGTGGTGCCCACCCTGATACACCCGGCTCGCCAAGGGCGTATGCCACCCAAAACTGTGACTTCAACTTCATCCAGATAACAGTGTATACGCTCCGACGCTGACGTCGCTGGCCACACACCTTTTAATTTACGCGGTTCCTAAAATTGTAAATGAATGAACGTACCTTTCATCTTCTTTCCCTTCTTGTGCCCCTTTTTCTTGTGGTACTTCTTAGCTTTGTGGCCCTTGGATGATTTCTTCTTTTTGCCATACTTCTTCTTCTTGTCCATGTGCGACTTCTTTTTCATGCCTTTCTTCTTATAGTGGGACTTTTTCTTCTTTTTCTTGTGCTTGCCCTTCTTCTTCTTGCTCCAATACTTTTTCTTTTTGTGCTTCTTGCTCCCTTTCTTCCCCTGGAATTTCAGAAAGAAAACATCGAAGGTGTGACAGAATCGTTTCTATACGCCAAATGCGACTACAAATCACGCCAACTTATACTCGTACCTTTTTCATCTTCTTGGAGCTCTTGTACTTTTTGCCGCCGCCCTTCTTCTTCTTGCTCTCCGCCACGGCCATGTCCGCGGGGGCGGCCAGGGCATGGCGGGCCGCCCTCACGGTGGCGCCCCCGGGGTCGGCGCTTCCCGAGTCGCCGGGGTCGCCGCGCTGCGACCACATCAGCATCGGCAGCAGCCCTGTCGCAGCGATGGTCCCGGCGCCGGCCTGCGACACACACGACGGCGTTAGACACTTGCTCGCGCACAACCCTCCTCACCCCTGTCTGCTCATGGGAGTGCACTGGAGGGGGTACGAATATATCACGGCCCCTTTGGAAGATCACGACTATCACTGGAAACTCATGGGGACCTCCTGATATTTGTACATCGGGGTAAAAATATCATGGTCCCCCTATATGAGCAGTATAGTAATTCTGAACCTCGTGGATGAGCCATTATATTTCTACCCCTTCCAGGGCACGTAGTCTGAGTCGTTACCTGCTCCGTCCCGTTGGCTGCCTCGTCCAGGATCGCCTCCCCGTCGAGCCTGCGGCTGTCGGAGGCGTTGACGGGCGAGGAGTCGGTGTTGTCGACCAGGCCCCAGCCCGGGTCGTGCTGCCAGGACTCCGCCGTCCCGGAGACTACGACGCGCGCACCGACCCCGAGAGCCTGCAGCGCCGCCGCGAGGGCGCCGGCCGCGACCAGGAGGCGCAGCGGGCCCCCCAGCCCCAGGCCGCGGCGCCGCCCGGGAGGACGTCCTGGCGGGCTCCACCGCCCTCTCGGGGGACGGATCCCCGTCAGGACCCCCGGACCGGGGCCCTGTCCCAGTCCCTGAGCTGTCATGGGGCACTGCCTGGCTGCCGGCCCTCCGCTCCTATTTATGCGCCCTGCCACAGTTGTCGCGCTCCACCACACCGCCCACCGCGAGGCCCGCCGGCAGCCGGCGGGGGTGCGCAAAAAGCTCGGGGACTTAACGTTTGTCAATAACGTCCTGCAGGCCAGGGCGGTGGTGTGCTCACCGGGGTGCTCGGTACTCGCCGAGGTATACTCGCGGGACAGAGCGCGGCGACGCTTAGACTCAGGCGCATGCCGGCCGGGGTACAACGTAAGCTCCGCCCCGGACCTGTGCCCGGACCGCTTTAGCCCCTATCAATGCCCGATGTGAGCATTCCAAGCACTGGCCTGAGCGCAACTCGTCAGGCTGGGCACATGTGTCAGGCTCATATCGGGTACCAGTTGGGGCTAAAGCACAGGCGCGGATGGAGGTCCGGCTTATAGAGGGAGGGGGTTGGGGTGGCGATGCACTGTCGGTTGCCTGGATTCAGGCGGTCTCTAGAAACGACGGGGTGGGGGTGGGGGGTCGCCCCTCGCCCCTCCACTCCCTTAATGTGCGCCTGCTAAAGCGTTCCGCGCTCAGATCCGGGCGGGGCTCATGTCCTTATACCCGGATGCTGTATGTGGCAGTCAGTCGGACCCCCTCCCCCCTTTCTCTGTGTTTGTATGTGTTATTTGGAAAATACTTCAGGACACCCAGAGAAATGATTAGCAATGGCAACCATCTGATGGTTGGCTCAGGGAGCACCATAAAATATGGTTGAGACGACAGTGACAACGTGATGAAAACCATATTTTTGGTTCTCACTACCACGGTAAGATTGCATCAACCATATTTTATGGTGCTCCCTGAGCCAACCATATGATGGTTGCCAGTGCTAATCATTTCTCTGGGTGGAAGTGTTTCCAGTTTTACTGCTTATTTCAGTCAGTTTGCGCTCCGTCAGCCGCGCAGTGAGCGGGGCATATTCCGCGACGGAAAACGCCGCGTCATAGCATAGTGCATGGCCGGCGGTGAGTGGGGCGCATGGCTGCGCATGGCATTGCCGATCAGATCCGATCAAGGCGATCCGTTCTACAAATTAGCCAAGTTGGGTAATTGCCGTGCACCCAGTCTATCCTGGCGACACTCCGCCATCGCAGTGAGGAAACCCACCGTCTCATGAGATCCCGCGGGCACGATTGTCACAGCATGGTCTCCCGAACGTTCAACCGTTCCACCCATTGGCATACGAGGATGAGTGTAAAAGGAGATATGGAGAGCGCTCCGCCTGCTGGAGTGGAGAGAGGGGAGGGGCAAACCGGTAGACGCTCTTCAGGTGACCGAGCCCGGGGCTGGGCCCTTGGCTCTGCATGTATGTACTACCGCTGCCGCTACCGCTCACGACTACTGCACGCTCCGCCCCCGCGCCTCGCCACTCCCCGCTGCGCCGGCGGCGGGGCCCCCTCCGCCTCCTCCTCCGCCCCCCGCGCGCGCCCTGCCCTGGGGCCCCATCGTCGTCCAGTCCCTATGCGTCGTGTGGGAAAGATCAACAGCTGGAGTTCTCACAAAAGCGCAACCGCGCTCTCTCGCTCGTACGCCCCGGCCAGGAGCGCGGGGCGGAGAGAGACGGAGCGAGCGCGACGGAGAGGCGGTGTGGTGGAGGGGAGGAGATCTGACTCACGCCCCACCGCGCGGTGGTTCACTCTGACCACGTGACCTATGTGGCCGACGCCTGATGAGCGGTACGGCACGGTACGGGTCTAGATGAGTAGCGGATCGGGTTTGAATATAAAAGAGGCAAATGCAAACTTGGAATGGAGAAAAAAAGTAGTTTCTGTATTTTCTTTTCAGTACACGTCACGGTTGAGTGTATATTTCACCCGACCACTGATGTTAAGTATGTTTGGCAATAGTGTTCAAAGTAAATACGTGGTCCTCCAGACGTCATTTACAGTGCGTAAAATATTTACACGTTTACCGGTACACATTTTCGATTGCTCGATTTCGAGCACGTATTCGAGACACGACGCTAAGGCACAGTCAAACTTAAAAAATAATATACTCTGGTGCCAGATCGTATTGACTGTAACACCTCAGAGAGAAAGTAAGGCACTTGTGGTGTTGCACTCTACCTCCAGCGGGAGGTAGTTTACATATATATCTACGCACGCTTTTGTACAATATATTCGAGATCATTGCCATTAATATGTCACCGCACCTGATTTCTGCATCCATTGGGATGGCATATACAGGTGTCATGGACTCTAAAAAAAACTCTTATCACAAAATGGCTGGCATATATAAGACTAACAAATAAGTGACAATCACTTATAAGGCACATAAACACAACAAATATTTACAGTAGTTTTTAAAGCAATCAATATAATCACAGACGGATACAAAGAAAGTAAAATCATTCGAGGCAACATTGAGGAATAAGGACTACCCTTGGTAACAAAATTTTTATACACTTTGCATTCACATTGTATACAAAGTCATTATAATTGATACCCCGGAGGCTTTTCCCCGTGCAACGGATTTCCTTTGACAAGATTTTTCGGCATTTTCATAACTTAGCCATAGCAAGATATCTACATGCCAGTCGATATGAAAAACAACAACATCAGGTACGCCAGTGAACGTCTATTCGCAGTAAACTCCACCACTCCCATAAAGACATCCCACCGGGAAGGCCCCCTCACCACGGCCTCCACATGTCTCTATCCTTGTCGTCTGCCGCGTCGCCGTGGTGCGAGGCTTGCAGAGGCAGTGGCCTCGCAAGGCTCGGGAGGCTGTGGCCGAGGCCGTGGCCTAGAGGTACCGGAGCGTACGGCGCGCCGAGGCCGGTGGAGGTGGCTGGGGCCGACATGACGCTGAGGGTGTAGCGGGCCATCTTACTGGGCGGTGCGCCCTCTGCCTCGGCCTCGGCCTCGGAGCTGTCCGACATGCATCGCTTGAAGGAGAAGTCCAAGGCGCTGGAGGCGCGCGGCCCCAAGTGCGACGCTCGCGGCGTGGTGAGGATCTCGACCGGCTCCAGCTTAGGCTCCACCTTGATCTCGACGGACGAGGACGTGGGCGTGGTGTGCGAGTCGTTGCTCGGCCTCCCTTGCGAGCAAGGAGAGGACATGGACTCGGGCGTGGACGGCGTCGACGAGTCTGCGGCCACGCGAGACAGCTGCAGCGCCCTGGCCGATGACGGCGGGGTGTCCGGTGAGTTCGAGGCCGATCCTGACGCCGAGGCCGATGTCGAGGTCGTCTCACTGGCTGGGGGTGTGGCCGCCACCGAGCCGAGGCCTGCCAGGTTGCCGACCGCAGTGAAGGCGCTGGGGTGTGGGGATGTCTTCATGACGGGGGTGGAGAGGCCGATGGCGTTAGCGGCCTCGACCGGGGCCGGCGTGGCAGCCGTGCTGGCCGCGGGGAATAGCAGCCCGGCGGAGGACAGCTGCGAAGACAGCTGTCCCGAGTTGGGCAGCAACAGCGCCAGCTCGCCAGTTGGTAGCCTGCTGGGGATCAGTTGCAGACTCTGCACTCGCGACGACGAGGACACGTTGCTGTTGTTGTTGATGTCCCCCGAGAGCTGCTGCACCTGCTGCAGCACGGTGGGCGGCGAGGCCAGCGAGGACCCCAGGCCCGGGCTGAGCCCGGCGTTGAGGCCCTGTCCGAGGCCCAGGCCCGAGCCGAGACCCTGGCCCATGGGCGGGAAGGAGAAGGGCGACGGCGCGACCTGCTGGAGGCCCTGCACGCACCCGGACAGGTGCGCCACCAGCCTCTGGCGCACCGCGGGCTCCACGCCGTCCATGCGGGACACGTAGCGGCTCACCTGGGGAGGGCAAGGAGGAGACGGAAGGGTTAACGGAGTTGCTTAATGGGTGGACACGGGCTTTGATTAAAAGTTTGTGGACTTACCTCGGTGGCGCACTCGCTGAAGCCCGCCTTGAACTTGTGTAGCGTGTGCGGGTCCGTGGACACCGCCTGGGACAGTTGCTGTCTCTGGACGTTCTGCAGGTGCTTCACAGTCATCTCCAGAATATCGGCTTTCTCAAGCTTAGAATGGCGGGCCGGCTGTAAAGAAGAGAAAGACAAGGATGGTAAGGCCAACTTGTTGTAAGAAGGAGGAGGAAAAAACCTTTTTCGAGGAAAGTAATTTGCAAAGCTACTCACGTCTTTTTTCATCGCGTCCAGGATGAGAGACTTGAGCTCGTTGAGGCAGTGGTTGATCCGCGCCCTCCGTCTCTTCTCCATGATCGGCTTGTTGCTCTGTGAACAGAGAGGGAAGGACAGCCGGTTAGAAAAAAAAGGACTAGTATTGGCAAAAAAACACACACAAGTGGCTGTACCCCATTTCTGAAAGAAGCGACCTGATTTCACACCCCCACCTCTAGACTGTTTCCGCATTCTGTATCTTTCCATATAGACGACAAGATTGGAAACGATTCACCTTGCACACATATGTTCTGGACCGAAAAAGGTGACAGCAGCTGACCCCCCCCCGCCCATCTTCGGTGTGTGGGATAGAGCCGTGGCCAGAAATCACACGTCGAAGGGTTCGCCCCCCGTCTCACCGTATAAGCACCCGACCTGACCGACCACCCTGTCCGACGGGGGCTGCGGGGCGCACCACAGGGCACACCGGGCAGAGCAGTGCAAACTGCAGAGCGGGGATGGAGAGGCCATTGTGTGCGATTGTGCGCCAGAGCACCGATTTATGCGATCCCCGGGGGCAGCCAAGAGACACGATCAGCGACTCACAATCAACTTGTATTTGCAGTGTCAACACGGCGCGCGGGTGGCACCCCCTGCCGATTACGGGGGGCAAAAAGCAGAAAAAGACGGTGTTGGCGGGGGAGAGCAAGGAGGAGGAGGAGGAGGAGGGGGAGGGGGAGGAGAGGTCGGCCAAAGAGGTGGGCGGCGTCCTCATTCAATGGGACGCAGCTCCGGCCCGAAAACTTTTGACAACGGCGGCACATCGCTCATGGTGGGCCGCTCTATCGGTGCAGTGAGGGAGGAAAAAGAGGTGTAGGGCAGGAGGAAGAGGAGGAGGAGTTCTAGGTCGAGCGGCATATACATGTACATATGGATGCGCGTCGAAAAAGCGTGGCGCAGTCCAGCCCAGCCCACACGATTCTGTTACTGCACTCTGCCCCGCCCCGCCACGCAGCACGACTTGCGCCCCTCAGGCCCGATCATCGCAGAGGAGACATAATGACGAGAGTGAGTGAGACGGAGAGACCTGGCGTGTCGGCATGAGCACCGCCAAAGGCCCCCGGGCGTGGCGGGGCGTGGCGTGGCGGGGCGTGGCGGGGTAGGGCGGGCGGAGCGCCCCCGCAGAGCCCCACTAATGCTCCGGCCGGGTCCGCAGGTACAGGTCCAACTGCGTGTGAATGTGGAGGCTGCCCCCCCCC